TTTTTTTTTTTTTTCTTTTTTTTTTTTATATTTTTTGTCTTTTTTTCGTGTCCGGCAACGGATTGCAACCCTCAGTGTCGCGCCCGTACCAGACCGGGACCGGCAACGGGATCGCGACCCTCGGTGTTGCACCCGCACCTCGCTCAGCCAGTGAGCGGGAACCGGTCTGTATGTGGGATCCAAACCCTCGGCGGGAGTGCCACCGCACTCCCAAGCGGCGCACTGTAGCAGTGCGCCACCGGGCCGGCCCCAAATCAGAGTATTCTGTTGGTAAATGTATTCCAAATGTGTTTCTATTTGGTTTTAAGTATGAAGATCTAGATTTAGCTAAATATTTTTTCATTTTTGACGTTCATACAACATTCGAGGTGGATAAAATAAAGTGAAATTATCTGAAAATAACACACGCTCATCATATCTTTTAAAATATGGCTTCTTACCTTGGCCAACTCTCATCCAGGGCCTGTGAGGAGTAATTAGCTCCAAAGGTACTACCGTCAAAGTAGAATTTTCATAAAGGAAAAATAAAATTAATGGAAAGTTGAAGCAGAATTAAGAAGCTGGAATCATGGAGAGTTAAACAACTACATTTTTGCCTGTTATCTGTATCTCTACACCCAATAGCTCTTCCTCCATGCTTTCTCTTGTCAACTTCCTTAGGACAGTCTATTCCTCTATAGTCTAACCAGTGTCTTCTTTGCATGATGCATGTGGGGTGTTTCCTATTTTTTTGCCTGCCCAGCATCTTTTGTTTTCAAGGACTGCCTCCTCTCCCATGCCAAACCGGGCAAGACTGTCATTCTGTGTGGGCCGCCCTGTCCCATGAGATGGACCCAGGCCTGGTGTTTCTAGTCAAGGTACTTCATCCCCCTGGAAACAGTGATTGGTTCAAGGATGGGCTCATGACAGAAGTGGAACCAAGGGGAGTGCTTTTGAGAGAAACAAAGGGGGTGCCCCAGTTGAGATGGTGACCCTGAAGGCCATGTGAACCTGGCCTCTCCCCTTGGAGAAAGCCTGTCTCCACATGAAGTCCACACAGATAGCACAGCATCACAGAGATACAGTCTCAGTGATGTTGTCTGATCCCCTGGATCTAGCCCTTGGGCTTCCAGTGACGTAAGCCAATAGATTTCCTTTTTCCAACTTCAGTTGGGTTCTTGTACTTACAATGGAAAGAAAACTGCATTAGATTTGTGGAGTAAACTTCCCATTGTTGCCAGGGGCTCTGTTTTATAAACTGTATTGTTCACTGGGTCTAGCATGCCTTGGAACACATTCCAGGTGCATGGAAAGACAGATAGGGTGCTGTACTCCACACACTGAATACAGCAGCCCAGTTTTTGTTAATTCAGTTAATTGTACCCATAGGATAATCTTAAGTCATTTTTAATCATATCATTCTCCTGCTGAAAAAACTTCAGTGATTCTCTTCAGCCTAAAAGGCAAAAAATCAAGCTTTACTGGCTTGGTGACTGTGGTGCTACACAGTTTGGCGGCAACGTCCTCTTCTGTTGCTCATCTCCACTCCACAGACACATCCTGTAGCTTCCTGCTTCTTTGCTTCCGCCAAGGCCCTTTCCCTTTCCTCTCCTGCTGTGTGAAACACTGCCTCCTGAAGGCCTGTCTCTCCTCCTCATCACCCTCAACAAAGCCAAGCCCATTCTTCTTGTCTCCTGTATCACTGATTAGCTGAAATATCCATTTGGTAGTTAACAATTAACACTTTTGACCCCAAACCTTTATTTCATAAGGTAGAAATAATAAAGAAGATACAAGACATACATGAAGACATCAGAAATTTGAGAATGGATATCTATGCATGTACTATGTGCTAGGCCCGTACCGAGTGAGTTCACATTCTCATTTAATCTTAACGATCCGTGGAAGCAGATAATATTATCCCTATTTTACAGCTGAAGAAACTGGAGCTCAGCTCTAGAAGAGCTGGGAAGTCCAAGATCAGACAGGAGGCATGGCAGATCAGGGGTCAAACCCTCAGCTCGGTGACTCCAAAGCCTGGGAGCTCTCATTAAGCTGTGCTGCCTCTCAGGAAACAGTGAAGTGACACCAAGTGCTCCAGAAAATAGTAAATATGTATTTGCAGTTTTCTGGGAAAAAGAAGGATGGAGGCTATAAAAGATAGTATCATCTGCTCGGGTCCAGGAGGAAATGGGAGACTGGACGGAGAGGAGAACTAGCATATAAACCTGGGCTGGGCACCTCAAGTGAATACAGAATTGGAATTAGGAAAACATGGGCACTAATGAGTTCTTAATGATTTAGTGTGAAATGTTTCCTCTGCCAGGAGAAGCATTATTATTGTCAAGTTTTATCTTCTATGTATTAGTTTTCTTTGCCATGTCTCATTACCTTTTTCTTAATCTGACCCTGACTCAATACAATAAAACAGAGATATGTTCAAAGAGAGACATTTCTTCAATACTAACTAGTGGCCTTAATGTATGTGAAGTACAGATTAGAACAGACGATAGCAGGAGACAGAAGAGGGAAAGGTGACAAGGAACAAGAAGGCCCTGCGAGAGAAGAAGCATCTCAGTCTTTCAGCGGGCAAAGCCATTGGGCAGGAGGCACTGATTGAGTCCCGCAGCCTGTGGTTATCTGCCTTTCTCTTTTCTGCAGGATTTGACGAATCTCTGTCCAAAAGAGCTTAATTTCACGAAGCAAAAGTTTACCAATTTTTTTAGTACACTGCCGTCTTTAAAGTCATTAAAGTCCAATTACACAGTAATGATAACGCAAGTTAGAATACAGTGGTGTAATAGTAACGATCAAACATTGGTTATTTCACTGTTGAGGCATAAGTTAGCGTTTTAACCTTCCTGATGTGTATTACCAACATGAAAACATAGTAAATTCCTGAAATTTTTAATATAATTAGGTGGAGTCATCAAAAGTTAAAAGATGTGACTTCTGAGCTCTCATAATTCTTACTGTCTCATCTAATTTAAGGGATTTTTTAAAAAAATTCAAGAACTGTGGGCACCAAGAGAACCACTAATGTTATAAGCTTGCAGTTAAACTCAAAAATCTCATTCACATGGCTTTAATTACTCTACTACACTCATATGCCCTAAAGAACAACCTAAAGACAGAAAAAACACCCTTATCTGTAAACTCGAATGTCCCACTGAACCCAGCAAGTACCTGTGGCAAACCTGCTGGTCGCCAGCACACACAGAAAAGGGGCACAGGCTACAGGGTTTGTAACGAGCCACACCAGCTCCTCCTCCATCACCTCCTTAGTTAGTTAAGGTTTTGGCCCAAGGAATATTTCCACGTTAAAAAGGAAGGTTAATGAAAAGGATAAGCAGGGCAGAAGTTGCTGTAGTGGATGGAAATAGAAGTTAAAGTTTAAAAAAGTCCCCACACTGGGCCGGCCTGTGGCTCACTCGGGAGAGTGCGGTGCTGATAACACCAAGGCCCCAGGTTCGGATCCCATATAGGGATGGCCAGTTTGCTCACTGGCTGAGCGTGGTGCTGACAACACCAAGTCAAGGGTTAAGATCCCCTTACCGGTCATCTTTTAAAAAGAAAAAAAAAAAAAAAAAAAAAGTCCCCACACTACCAGAGACCTTCTTTCCGCCTCCCTCTGTGCACTCCTTTTCTGCCCTTTGCCCCCTCCTTTGCCTTCAATCCTGATGTTCCCTGGGGTCCTGTGGCCTCACAGCCTCAGCCCACTTCTGCTCGCATTGCTCTCAAAGGGACAGGATGGGGAGAAAAAACTCAGAATCACTGGGCACCAGTACAGTAGGAGCAGGGCAGAGGCTGGAGACTGTGGGCAAAAACATTCTGGGAAGCGCCTCCTAGGAGACCGGGCCAGTCCCCGTCTCTCTGGTGGAGACCTCTCTGTCCTGCATGCTCACCTCAGTCAACCCCATCCCTGCTTTGGCTCCAACTATCACCCACAACCGCGCAGTAACTCACAAATCCATACCTCTAGCTCTCAAAGTTTTCGTGAACTCCAAGTCTATATTTCCAACTGCCTATTTGGGTTCTCCACCAAAAGTACACCAGACACCCCCAACTCCAGCTAAAATCCCACTACGCACCTCAACCCGCTCCCACCTGCCATCTGCTCCTCTTCTTATAACCTAATTTAATGAGGGCACCACCCACCTAGGTGCTCAGATGGGGATCTCAGAGCCATCCCAATCTGTCCCCACTCTCCCCAAGTCCCTGCAGTTCTGTAGAGGAAAACACTTCTCCTGGCCTTACTGTCTCCATCCATCCAGTGACAAGGGGACTCCTACTCTCTCAACTCAGGGAATGTTAGATGAACAGTTCTTACTCTTCCTCAAAGGAAGGGAAGTAGCTCTTCTTTCTGTTGATAAGAGAGGACCTCTGCTGGCCCATTAACCAGTGGGTGGGTACTGAGCCACAGCAGCTCAAAACAAGCTCCACCCTGGTTCTTTTTCATGCTGCCTGACTCGCTGCTGGGGGAACAGAGCCAGGGCTCCTTTCTCAGCTTCCTGTCCCTGTGTGGTAAGTGCACCTGGGGCAGGGCTCAGGAACTGTCTCCTAGAGGCAGCCTAGAGGCCAGTCATCTTCTCTCCTACCCTGTGGAACTCTGTGTTCTGCCAGGGACACAGTTTGCAGGGCGGGCCTTGACTCTCCATGCAGTGGGCGGGGTAAGTGAACTTGGAATCTACTTAATAGAATCTACTTACCAAGGCAGGTTTCCAGGGTCGGATTCAATATTGAAAACTGGTCAAAATTTGGTTCCTTCCTAAGTTCTCAGTCATGTCTTTATGATCACTCTACTTCCTCTTGTCCCTTTATCTCCATTATGTCCTGCTAGAACATCTTAAGGTCAAAATTTAAGGGAGGTATATGAGTGGGATCTCTTTGAGTTCTTGCATATATGAGAACATCTTTCTGTTTCCCTGAGCACATGAGTGGCAAATAGGGGGCAAGTGAAATTTTCCCTTGAAACTTTAAAGACCAGTGTTTCCTTGTCCTTCAAGATGATATGGGTGTCAGGTAAAAATTGGGTTTTGTGGTCACATAAGTTTTGGAAATGTTGGGTTAAAGATAACCCAACTTTCTTAACTGCAGGACTTCTCCAAGCCCTAATGTATTCTGTGAGTATAGACTGTGAGGCTCCAAGATAGGACAGAGAGTAGTGTTTTTCAAATTTAATAGGCCATGCATTTCAAAGAAACAGTGTCCTATAAACCAATATCCTAAAACTTTCATCTCACTGTGATAAAAAGAATCAAAGCAAAGCCCATCCCAGGGAGGAGAGTCATTCCTAATTCTGACAGGTCTTAAGGCATCTCTTCATGACTGTTCACACTAGTGAACTCTCAACTTTTTCTCTTTCAAAAAAAAGACACCTCTTTTAGAAGGCATTTTCTACGATTCTTCAGCATGATCCCTTCTTTTTCAATGTATCACCCACAGGTCTGAGAAAATATTGCATTTGCTGTAAATTTATGTTAATAGTTCAGAAATTCAACAAGATGGTGTTTGGGATACAGCATGTCTGTCACCCTTGAGGACTGAGGAGTGAGAACAGCAGCTGCAGAAAGTAGCAGAGCTTCTATTCTGAATTCTCAAGCCCAGACCCCAGCCAGAAGCATGCCCTGGCAGCGCCTCTCCTCTGCCTGCATGGAGTCTCAGGCGAGGGCCCCACTGTGGCAGTGCCCTGGTCTTTGCTCGTGGCGGCCACCCATGCCCATGGCTGCCCACTGCAGAAGGAATCTCCTGTGCCAGAGCTCTGCTTGTTGTGGCTGCCCACTCTGGGAGCAAGCCGGAATACTTGCTAAACAATGTTCATTTTATTTGAGATCACTACATCATAGGACTGAACCCTTGTCTGAGCCAGTCTGCCCATCCTAAAATAACACCCAAGCCAAGAAACAGCTGTCATAAGAATTCTGAATATGTGTTTTTCTTTTTGTTCTAATGAAAATTCAAACCAGTTTTCATACTTTCAAATGGTAAACTTCATTTAAAAGGTAATAGACAAATGTGAACGGCAACAATTTCAAGCAAATTATTTCACAACAGAATGCAGGTCATGAAAGAAAAGATGGAATCACAGCCTTCCTCTTCTGAAATCTCCTAAATAGAGAACCATCCCACTTTTATATTTCACTAGGAGCTTGTGGTCCCTTGATTCCTCAAAAGAGACTCACTGCTTCATTAGTAGGCAACCCTATGCTAAAGAACTTTCTTTGAATCAGCAAATGTCTAGTCCCAGGACACCAATTAGGGGCTTAAGAGGAGGCCACAGAGAGACGGCTCATGGTCAGTCAATCAGCCTCATACTGTCTGATGAACAACATATTTATCTGCATTATTAATTTGGTTTTGCTTTTCCCTCCCTTAGGAGTTGACCAGCTTTGCTGATGTTCTCACAAGTTGACCTATATAGAGAGTCAGGCTATTCCCTGTGACACATTACCTGAAAAAAGATAGGGTCCCCTGAAGACACAATGTATATTGTCCCCTTCTGGGACTTTGCACACATTCCATTCCCTCTGCCTGGAGCATTCCCTCCCCAACTGCTTTACTCTCTTATATATCACTTATTACCATCTGAAGTCATTTTCCTTAATTATTTTTTTACCCATTTATTGTCTGTTATCTCCCACAGGACTGTAAACTCAAGAAGGTGGGGACTACGTCCCTTATTCATCACCAAGTCCCCAGGGCTTATAACAGTGCCTGGCACAGAGAAGGGGCTCTGTAAATATCTGTAAATACAGTCCCCTCCTCTGTGCTCACCCAGCCCCTAAGCAGCCTCAGCTGTAGCCACCACACTGCTGTGACTGCCTGCTCACTTAGCTGCCTCTACCCTGAACTGCGAGCAACTGGGGCCAGGGACCATATTATATTCAGTGTTATAACTACAGTTTAAAATGGTGCCTGACCTCTTGTAGATACTTAAATCATTTTTAAGTGAATGAATATCATCCTCTTTCTCTTTTCAACTCCTTCCTCTTCTACTCCTTTATGTACACATAAAGCTATGTGTTCATGTATATATTTAGACTATACTTGCTTCGAAAAGTATCTGGATGGCCATTTATACATACACACCACACACACACACACACACACACACACACACACACACACACACACAATAATGTATAATATAATCTATAGAAAGAGAGAGCACTGACAAGAGAAAGAGCGAATTGAGAAATTTTCAAAAGATATACTGTTAAGTCCAGCAAAGAAACACTCCAAGTCTTTTGCTTGAGAATTCCAGGTAATTTGGGCAATGGTTTGATGTATTAATCCACCTCCCAATGTGCAAATTAGCTGAAGAACTGCCTCAATTCCCTTTCACCTTTTGCATTCTATGTCAAAGTTATCACACATTCCAGAAAGGTATTCTCCTGATTACTCATCTTCACTTTCCCTGATAATGGCCACATAATATACAAAACTAGAAGTCAGGGTATCTCGGTGGACCAGTGTGGTCTCTCCCCATGGACACAAGAGAGGAGAGATATATGTGTTCCCTGGGGTCATTATCCTTGCCTCCAAATAGACGAGAAACTTCGAGAAGCTTCAGGGCAAGAAAAGTCAGGGTGTCCTTAGTGCACCCCCACAACTCCTCACCCGGGTCCTCTTCACTGCTCAGCAGACAGTGTCACACAGGGAGGACAGGAGCACAGGCTGGGCATCAGCCCCACATGAACCAAATCTGGGATTCTCCAACCAACCACAGCAGTGGAATCTCAGGCTAGGTTTCCTCATGGGAAAATGGGGGTTAAAAAAATAAGTGACACAGTGAGTTCTGAGGACTACATGACATCTAAATTGCCCAGCACAGTGCCTGGCATGGGTAGGTGCTCAGTAAACATGTGTGCCCTCCCCCCACTTCCTTGTTTCTAAGCTTGTGAAGCCAGATCTACCATCACTGCCAGGAATCCAGCTCTCTGCAATGACACTCAACCCCCCTACTTCTTCCCCCTCTCCGAGCGCTGAGAAGAGTAAAGTGAGAGCATAGGCCCTCCTGGCAAACTTCTGTGTCCCCTCCCACAAAATCCAGTTCATTCTGTAGCCCCCAAACCCTCAGCACAATGTGGTCACGCAGCAGTCTCTGCCCCACCATGCCCGTCCACCCCCTAATAAGTATTGGTTAAATAACATTGTCAGATGAATTCACCATCTCTCTATTTCCACTTCACAGCCTAGAGTTTGGTGTGAGTTTACATCAATGAATTTTCCTAAATACCAGGTTTATATTTTAGTTATTTACTGAGTTTAAAACTCCAGAAATAGAAGATGATATGAAATGTTTTCTGTAAGTTGCAAAAGCAGGTTAGCAAGTCAATAGAAATACAAATAAATCACATATCTGTATATTTCCATCCACATTTGCTAGATACACTATATGTCTCCAACCTGACTCAAAGTCAGGTTTAACTCTGACATTGCCAATTTTTGAAGAAAATGGTGAGAACGCCTTGCAACTGGGATGAATTGCATGTTATTTATGTTCAGTTATTTCACTAAACTGAACCTTATTGATGCTTTCATAAAATAAACACTTAGAATGATCTTTCCAAATTTTGGCTGTGAGATGTTTCTAGCTTCCAACTCAGTTATTTTTATTGCCTTCATTCACCAGATAAAATGAAGATTTTGAGGCCAAAGGGGAATTGCAGGGAAGATAAATCCTAAAAACCTTTCGAACATTTTAAAACATTCCCCTCAGGCAGTAAAAAAGGATATTTGTCGTCCTGGCTTGTCCCCAGACCTTCGGTGAAGGGGGTGGAAGCGGTTCCGGGATGGCCTTTCCACCAGCCCATGATGGCGGGTTCCCCGAATGTTATCAGCTTGATGAAATGATGGCTGCAGAGAGAAGGGAAGAAGAAGTGGCCTCTGACCATGAAATCGCCACTCACCTTCAAAAACAACTGACAACAACAGCAGATGAAAAGACTGATTTCATAATTTTACTACCATATATTAGAGTGCCTTGGGTCAAGGTAAATAAAATAATGTAGTACATGCAGCTGTTTCTATTTAATTACAGATAATTAAAAATAGTCCTTAGTGTATTAAGATGAAAGCTAAAAGAATGATATATAAAAGTTATCACCGAAAAAAGACAAAAAAAAAAAAAAAAAGGGGCCGGCCTGGTGGCGCACTGCTACAGTGCACCGCTTGGAAGTGCTGCGGCGCTCCCGCCGAGGGTTTGGATCCCACATACAGACCGGTTCCCGCTCACTGGCTGAGCGAGGTGCGGGTGCGGCACTGAGGGTTGCAATCCCGTTGCCGGTCCCGGTCCGGTGCGGGTGCGACACTGAGGGTTGCGATCCGTTGCCGGGCACGAAAAAAGACAAAAACAAAAAAAACAAAAAAAGTTATCACAATTAGGAGATATGGAATCAGAGTACTATGGATTCGTACACCAAATCCCAGAAACTAGGAAGTACGCTTGAAATGTAAAAGAGGTATATACACTAAGACAGAAATAAACTGGCAAGCCAAAGGATATCTATTTGTTCTACATGTCATCTTTTAAATTTTTTGACTGATGGCTGGCCAGTTAGCTCAGTTTGTTAGAGCACAGCCTTGTAACACCAAGGTCAGGGGTTTGGTTCCCCATACCGGCCAGCCACCAAAAATAAATAAATGTTTTGATTGAATTCACAATGTTTAAAAATTCAGACCTGAGCTTTCTAGGGAAAAATCAGAACATCTTGGACACACTGGCCCACATACCCACATGGCAATAAAAGGCTGAAGCCAAGAGTGGCTGCTCCCTGTAGATGGGACACCCACTCTTGTGTTTTTAATCCTCACACCCAGACCACTCCATTGACTCATTATGTTAGACATTTGAGTTTGCAACCACTGAGTTAAGGAGGAAAAAAAGGCATAACACCTAAATACAAGAGGAAAACATGCAACTCATTATTCCCCAAATGGCACAAATGAAAGTACAAACAGATTCAAGACAAATTCATGGTCAATAAATCTAAAATCCTTTGTTAAGGAATGCTTGGGTTACATTCTTGACATTTTTGAGACTGGCACCATAAAGGGCAAACTTTTTGGTTGTCAAAGACCAAATCCCAGGCTGGACCATTAAATCTCACATAATGGGGCAATTGGTATACAATGTTATACAATAGATGTGCTTATGAAATATATAAAAACAGATTTCCCCCCCAGCTTTATTAAGGTATAACTGACCAATAAAAATTGTATATATTTACAGTGCATAATGTGATGTTTTGATACATGTATACATTGTGAAATGATTAGATCAACTAACCTATCCATCACCTCACGTACTTATTTAAAACAGATTCTCTTTCAGGTAAATTGAATCATACATAAAATAACTAGCTAACTATGAAAAGAGTCCTATGGAAGATTACATTTTTATAGGGAAGTTTCCTTTAGTGAAGAACTGATTGCTGGTTTTTCTTTGTTAAACATATGAATTTTCTCATATCGGATTTGGGAATTACCCCTATTTCTCCTAAGTGGATTCATAAAATATCTGGGCTATATTTACTTTAACAGTTCCAATCTGTTTTCATAATCCAAGCCTATAAGCTTGTAAAAAGAGATCTTAGTGGGGAACAACTTCTTAGAAGAAAAATATCCACATAATAGGTAAGCTGGATTTGATCTCAGATAATAGAGCACATTATTCTAGGGAATAATTATTTTACTTTATTTTTCTCAGCAGCTGGTTGGTACACGGAACTGAACCTTTGACCTTGGTATTACAAGGCCGTGCTCTAACCAACTGAGCAAACCGGCCAGCTAAATTGACATGCCTAAAAAATAATGAGACAAACTGACATCGGGTGCTTCCTGATGTTGCCACGAGAAGGACACAGCATCTCTTACGTAGTAGTAACTCTACCAAAAATGCATAAGCTGAATAAAAATGCAAAACAATCAGAGAAACCCCAACTGAGGAACATTCTACAAAACAAATGACCTGTTCTCTCCCAAAATATCAGTCATAAAAGACAAAAACAAAAAACAAAAAAACCAAAAAAACCCTGAAGAAATATTCTAGATTAAAGGAGATGAGGGAGATATGGCATGCTATAAATGACCATTTTGGCACAGTTGGAAAATTTGAACAGGGTCTATATATTATATAATGTTGCTGCAATTTTTAATTTCCTTAATTTGATCATTATAGTGTGGTTAGGTTATGTAAGAAAATTACTCAGGAGTAACAGAAGTAAACATAACATGTATATACACACATATTAAGAGAAGGAAAGAGAAAAAACGGGGCAAAATGTTAACAATCAGTGAATTCAAGTGAGGGGTATACACAAATTCACTGTTCTATTCTTAAAAGGTTTGAAATGTTCTCAAAATAAAAAGTTTACAGGTCTAAAGTCTGACAATAAAGGCACAGATCTTGATGCAGGATTCATGCTTCTCATTTCTAAAATTTGAATGGCTTCAAAACCAAATATATCTTTAGATTGACTTTCTAAGAACATCTAAAAAATATGATCACCACTTCTTGTTACTTTTTAAATTATTAAAAGTTTACCTTGAAAAAATAACTACATTATTGGCTGGGGAAAATAATATACAATCCTTAGGTTGTCTTTCCATATAAAATTCAACCTTTTATAATTCTAGTTTTGGGGGACCCCAGTAATACCTGCAATGTGAACTGTTTAATGATTTTTCCCCCCAAAAGATGACTGGTAAGGGGATCTTAACCCTTGACTTGGTGTTGTCAACACCACACTCTCCCAAGTGAGCTAACCAGCCATCCCTATATAGGGATCCAAACCTGTGGCCCTGTGTTATCAGCACCATACTCTCCCAAGTGAGCCACGGGCTGGCCCTGTTTAATGATTTTTAACTATGTTCATATATCATATTTCAGGAAATATGACTCAAACAAAGTATATCTAAATAAAAATAAAGAGCTACTATTAATACAAAAATAAAGAAATGGAAATACCTTTGTTAATCAAGAGGATCATGCCCACAGCACATTTTATTACCAGAAAAGCGATTATCCAAGATAGAAATAATTTTAGGAGACAGATGCCTTTGTTCCAAGACAAAAGAAAAGGAAGGATTTTTTGTTAACATATCACATATTCAGTACAATAATGTTAAATGTATTTGAAAACATAAAATTTTCATCTAAAAGTTTAAGAGCACCATTATTACCAGATTGGGCTCCTGGAGGCCAGCCTACAGAGGTGGGGCTGAGAGTTTTCAGAAGGGGTTCCCAAAAGTAGAAAGCTCTTGAAATGTCTTCTAGACTTTCCATTATGCCTATATTTTCTATTTACAGTCATCTTTTTTGCATTAACTTCTGGGCCAAATCCTGTATTACTGCTTGAACTCAGGTGTTGGGGGGATAATCTCTGCTTACATTTAATATTTCCTTCTTGGGTCTAGCCAGTTAGCTCAGTAACTGGTTATAGTGTGGTGCTGATAACACCAAGGTCCAGGGTTCAATCCCTGTACTGGTCAGCCAACAAAAACCATCCAAAACACTATGGTGTTTGGTAATTGGCCTAAGTCTAGGTTCCAAAAAATCTAGTAACAGACAGCCACCTGTTCCCACCAACTTCCAAGCTTTTGCTGGCTGGGAGCTAAAACTCTGTTATTTAAAAATGTATTTATCAGGGCCGACCCCATGGCTCATTTGGGAGAGTGCGGCGCTGGGAGCGCCGCCGCCGCGGGTTCGGATCCTATATAGGGATGGCTGGTGCGCTCCCTGGCTGAGTGCAGTGCAGGCGACACCTAGCCAAGGGTTACGATCTCCTTACCGGTCACAAAAAAAATAATAATAAAATTTTTAAAAAATGTATTTATCAAGTCAACTTTAAAACATAAAAATAAATGACACTCTGCCAGTCGTAAGGCAAAGTACTTCATTTTTTCTGGTCCTTTTCAGACTTCAATCATATATAGTTTTTACATAGTTGTACCAATAGAGTATGCATATTTTTGTGATCTATTTTTTGCACTTAACATTATTTCATAAACAATTTTCCGTGTATTACATAATCCTTATATTTATTAATTCAATAAATGCACGGTATTTCATTCTCAGCGTTCATAAAGCCAACATTCCACAATGCACTTCAAAGAACATGATTTGGAGTCAGTCATCAGTTCAAGTTCAGGATCCTCAACATATTAACAAATTACTTCATCTTCCTTATCTGTAAAGTGGGAATGATGATGATGACGATGACGATGATGATCATGACGACTTCCTCACGGGCTTGTTGAGAAAACTAAATGAGATTTGTACATGCCAGCTGCCCTGTCCCAGGGATACTTGGGCAGTAGAAGGGAGGATGGATGCCCAAGAGGTGGTACACTGGGAAGCCTCTTGTTAAATGTGGGGCCACCCTGCAGATTCCTTTTGTGGATAGGAGGTGCAGCATCATTGTTAGGGGCTTCCCGAGCATTCTGAGCCTCCCAGAGTCTCCCTCAAGGGACCTAGATCTCAGTTAGGCATCATCTGCTGCCCATACCATGTCACCCCTGACAGCTGCAGTCTGGGATGTGTGATTTGCTTTGGCCAATGGCTCTGCGATGCTGGTTCAAACAGAAACTCTTATACTTTTTTCCTTCTGCCATGAGAATGCTATGTCCCAAACGGGATGTCCCTGCAGCCGTGGTTGCAGAAGGACAAAGTACACAGAGGAGAGCCACAGCAGGTGTGCTGCAGCCACTGACACATAATATGAGTGAAAAACAAATGTCTGTTGAAAGTCCCAGAGCTTCTGGATTGGTTGTGACTGTAGCAAAGCTGGTTAATATGGTAGTGATGGCAGAGAGAGACTGCACTGAGAGGGAAAGTGCCATTTTTCTTGAAGAGA